AGCCAGCGCATCGTCATCATCCTTACCTCAAAATTCTCGATCCTTTGCTCTTTCAAAAAAAGTAAAGTAGGTATTTTTGTATGTTCTTGTGGACTCTTTACTTTCTGCTTGTATTGATAATATTGAAATATGTTTTGAGAATAGAATATTAAACCCTAGATTCTGGAAACTTGCAGAAAAGGAGGGAGATGAGCTATGCACTCCAAGTGTTTGAAGAAATGCTTAAAAGAAGAATCTTACCTAATTCATACCTTATAACATTACCTGATGTACACAAGACCAAGTGATATGGTACCTAATCACACCTTGCACTCGAATGCATACAGTGCAAGCCTGTATTTATTCTTTTTCTTAATTTGTTGGAGATGGTAACTAAGGATCGTTCTTGTGAACATTCCTTCTTTTTCAGGCTGTAGATCACAACTAAGAAATAGTTAAACTAATAGGTGAAACTTATGTAAATATTTTCTTCTCTTGTTTCAATTTCAGTGGAGAATTAATATCATATGTTTGTTGGGGTTACATTGAGCAAAACAGTAGGCGGTAGGCTAATCGCATCCACCCTAGTCCAAGTATCTTTTCCACACACACACACACACCCTAAACTTTAAAGATGACTAGAATTAATATTTCATGTAGATGACTTTTTTTTTGTTAAATTGCTTTTCTCAGGAAAGATCCCATCTCTCCAACGGATCAATGGATGACCACAATCGTGGTTCGGGGCAGGTTGTGCTTTTTACTTGTTTTTTTGGAAAGTTGATTACCCTTTCTATTTTTTCATTAATTTTCTGCTTTTGTTTTCTGTTGCTTGCAGATGATGGATGGAACCCAGATCAATATAGATGTAACTGCAGTTGGGGCTATAATTGCTTTGGGTCTAATGTACTTAAAGGTAACTCTTTGGCAGGAAGGATGACTATATATATTTGTTTATGATTTTATGTCAGCTCTGTTCTCAAGATTTACAACTTTGAAAAAATATTCTAATGACAGACTAAATTGCAAGCGATTCTATCCAGGCTTTGTATCCCATAAACACATTTCGAATTGCAATATGTGAGGCCCCACTTCATAATGCTCCATGTCATTTCCAGTAATTTAATAATGTGGAGCAGGTACTGCTATTTAAAATTCATATGCTACATTAATATTCATGCTGGCTATATGTAAAGAGTAAGAGATCTCTTTAAACACCTTGCATGTGTTTTTAGGATTCATCCATCAGAAGATTGATTCAGGGTTAGATACCCAAAGTAGTCTTGAATGGCATCAAAGGATTCATCCAGAAGATTGTGAGTACATCTCATCAAGAGACTAGTGATTACTTTTCTGATGAATCAAGACGTATACATTGCACAAAATGTGACCTAATGCATATATGGAAGTTGAAAAGCTGCTGACTATGGCATACACTGTTGGCCTCCTTGGAATTGTAAAGCTGCTAACTGTGGCATAGACTGCTGAACACTTAGACTTTGAAAAGCTGACTGGTGGCCACATGGAAGTTGAAAAGCTGACTGTGGCAACTACTGCTGCTGCTGGACACCTGGAAGTTGAGAAGCTGATTGTGGCATAGATTGGTGTCCACCTAGAAGTTGAAAAGCTAACTGTGGCATAGGTTGCTGCTGCTGGACACCTTGAGGTGGAAAAGCTAACTGTGGCATAGGCTGCTTCTGCTGAAAGACTAGATGCTTGACCATTTTGAGAAGGAAAAGCAATTTGCGAGGGTCCAGGTGGAGGCAATATATCAGCTAAAAATGTCAACAGTTGAATCAAAATCAAAAGTATCCCCAAATCCCCCTGACCCTGACATTGGGTCAACTGAAAATGATGGTGGTTCAGCAACAGTTGTAGTGAAGGGTGATGTTGGTGGTTAAGCCGAAAATCCATCAGTAGAAGGAACAGCTTTGAAAGGACCATCACCAAACGGATCATCAAATGCCTGCAATCAATGCATAAAGAGTGTAAATTTACAACATAAACAAACTATCAATATGTGTGTGTAGAATCCAGCTTTTAAGACACTCACGCACCCGACTTGTCGATGAGGTATCGAAGGTGAGATAAGGATTAGTATTTGCTGGAGGATGAACTTCAGTGGTTATAGATGAAGTAGATGTTACAACAGCCAAAGCATTTGAAGAAGAGAAAGACTCTGATAGAGAACCAAACAAATCCTCCATCTCTCCACCACCTGATCCTTGCAGGGCAAACGCAAGGGCAGGAGCAGGAACAACACCACGGGGATCAAAAAAGTCAAACCCATCGTTTTCATTGTTGACTGTCACTGCAGGTGGTGGCGGCGTAGTGGTAACTGGAGGTGGTGTGGCTGGCGTGCGGCAGCTGGTGGTGGTGGAGCAGTTGCTGCCGGAATTTCTTGATGGTTAATGTTCACCAGTCCTTAAAATGCTTACAAGTTAGACTAGATTCCATTACTTTATATATATATATATATATATATATATACAAGTAAATAAATCTTTTGACTTATTAATTAATTAATTTACCTCTTGGTATCAACAGGGCTATGACCGTCACTCACAGCATCTTCATAACTAGGAGGCCCACCAACATTTTGTCCAGATGACCTTGGTTCAAGCCCCCTGCCCTCACCACTAAAAAAGAAAATTTTAGTTCAATGTATTGTGTGTATATATATATATATATATATATATATATATATATATATATATATATATATATAACGAGGGTATTTTGGTCTTTTAATCAAAAAGCAGATTCCTTCGACCCTCTAAATTACCTTCCATCTGGAGAAGCATCCTTCAACTATAGCACCCAGATAACCATTTCTTGCTATAACAGTAGCATAGTTATGATTCAATTCACGAATCCAAGAATTTAATCTAATTAAACTTTTATCAGATCAGAAGTTCCTGTAAGTTCAGGAGAGTAATGCAAACAATTGTCACACTTGGAAATGCTTTGAACCAAGGAACAACAAGAGGTCAATATTTTCATTTGTTTATTTTATGTTATTAAATATAATAATATTTTGTTATAGTTGATTTTGACTTAGACTTTGACTTTGATTAATTTGGTGTCATTTTAGGCGCTGCTATTTGGTTCAGATTTGATTAATATGTTGTATGGAAAATAATTAAATTTTAAAATAACAAGATAATGTTGTGGATAATTAATTAATTTTTGGTGCTTGTTGACAAACTACCTGAACTCCTTGATTTCTCCAAGGATCTTGACAGTTTGGAACCTGCATCAAGGGTGGTGATCACAATTAATCTTATTCAAATATTTAGAAATTTAAAACATGTGTAAATGTAATTAAGAATTTATTGATTATTTATTATTTTTCAGGTACAATTAAAATATTTGGCAGAGGAAATGCAAGCTATTAGCAAAGGACTTGAAAAAGTTGTCCAGGAATTGTCAATGGCTAAAAATGATGGACTTGTCTTTGAAAAATTTCTCAAATTAAGAGTTATCAGTACACAACCGTTTATGTAGGCAACCTTAGCCCTGAAGAAAGTACTTTTTCTACAAATATTGCTTAAGGTAGTGGAGGGCCTTTATGTAATGTGATGGATCAACCTCTTTTAAAGTTTCATCTACATCTAGTTTTATTCTTCTGACATGCTTTTTGTATTTGGTTTAACAGCTGAGGATCATAATCAAACAAAAGCCTTGTGTCGGTGTAGGGCCTTTATGTAATTCACAACAGGTTTCCATGATGGCATGAAAGTGGTATTAAGTATTTGCATTTTTATTATATTATACCCCTCACATTTTCCCGAATTACCCCTTCCTCTACAATGTTTTTTTTTTGTTTCTATGTATTTTGTGCATTAGGTAAAGTTGATAGAAGAAAGGAATATGAAGCCACTTGATTTAAATCTTGCAGCATTATCAGCAAGATGCAGTAAAGACTTGGAGTTGAATTTGGCTAAGTCATTATTGAGTGAGATGGGCTAATGTACAATTGCATATCCATATAATCAGCTGTTTGGAACATTACTTTTAAAGAATTATGAAAGGCAAGATGCAACTTTACTTAGTTGGAACTTGATGCACATAGTAGATTAGATGCAAATTTATATATTGTAAGAAATAGAATTATATGACATTAAATTTATGCAATGGATTCTATTTTTTCTATATGATATTTTATTTTCTATTATGAAACATTAAATAAAAATTTAATTTGAAAATAATTAAATCTATAAATAATATTTTTTTTAAACATTTAAAATTATGATACGCAAAAATGTGTGTCATCTTCATTTATGACATGGCCTTTCTTGATAGGGGCTTTCTTGATACGCATTGCATGTCATTAACACGCGCGTCGTAAGGTTATGACACGCGAATGCGTGTCGTCTTCCTTTATGACAGGGCCTTCCTTGATACGCATTGCGTGTCGTAAATGCGTGTCGTAATTGCACGTCATAAATGCGCGTCGTAAATGCGCGTCGTCTTTCTTTATGACAGGGCCTTCCATGACGCGCATTTGCGCGTCGTCTGAGCCTTTTACGACGCGCAATGAGCATCGTAAAAGGCTGTTTTTCTAGTAGTGAGTATGACCAGTTTTATCATTTAGACATTAAAAATTTTCAGAGTGTGACGATTGTTTTTATTATAGTCACATATACATACTTAAACCATAGTTGCAAATGTCGTATAGTTACATAATGTTTTTATAACTATGACTATTATAGAACATACAGCCACATGAATGTAGAAATAAGTGACATATGTTAAGATTTTGACACACATATATCTACATTGACAATACTATTTAGTTTTTAGTCATGTATACTAAATTGAAGCATGACTATAAAATCATTGTAGATACACAACTAATGTTTATTGTCCTTATTGTTTAGTGTTTAGCCACACAAATTTTTCATAACCATAACATTTGTTATCCTTTAGACACACCTATAGTTTTCAGTGTGGCTATTGATCATAATTTAGATATCGCGAATCAATACAATCGTAACCATTAGTGTTGTATCGACATTCAAATTCATTCACCGTGACTACATTTACCCTATTGTGATATTACTTATAGTCACATGATTATTAAATAGAGTGACATGTGTATCTTTTCCGAGACACAAAAATTTTCAATGTTGTATTTCTTTTACTTTTAGTCACACATGTTTAATTAAAAGTGACTATAAAACACTTGTAGACACATATTGAGTTTCTATCATGACTATTGTTAACCCTTTAGTCACACGACACATTTTTTTGTAAAGTAACAATTCTATACATTTTAGTGATAAAATATAATAAAACATGATGGTAAAATAATTATAGACACATGGAATAAAAAACAATGTTAAATAAATGTAACCATAAATGGACAATGTGAAACGATAAAAAAAAGATCAATATTAATAATAATTCAAATGAAAATTCTCATATATAATTTCCCTAGTTAAAAGGTAAAAATTCTTGTAATCAAAACAAGTTTACTTAAATATGCTAAAGAAAGGAAAAAAGGCATAAACCAAAAACTAGATTTGTTTAGTCTTGTTGAAAGTGCTCCTTGTATGCTTGCCAAGGCTCTCTCTTGTTATAAAACTTTTTTTTTGCTTCTTGGAGCTTTTACATTCATCATCTTGAGTTGATCTCATTCGTGGTATCTGTAGCAACATTGAACCAAACTTGAATAACTAATAATTTAAAAAACTAATTTCCAAAAGAAAAAAGTTTAATGCATAATGTAGTTAATAGAAGAAACAAACTTTTTTGTCACATTTGACAAGGTATTTGGGCCATGCAACAAAAGTTTTATGTGCCTCCTCAACTGTTTTGATATCACCGTTTTGATATGGTAAAAATGCAGCTCCCTTTATCACTTCATCAATTGATACTTTATAGCAGTCGTCTTGAAGTGGAACTCCATGAATGGCTTGTCTTTCTGAAGAAATGTAAACTGTACCATAAGCAACGTTGCTTCTATTATCTGGATATTGTAGAATGCACTTCGTTGTCTTCATTGTCTACAATGATTGCACATATTTAGATAAAAAAGGAATACACACATATTTATATTTGCATTTTAAAATACATACCTGTGGGAGTTTTGGTGAATGAGTATCTTTTGTTTTTGGACGTGAATTTGTAGTCACACTCTTAGATTCAACGGTTATTTTGCCGGTTTTTGTTATTACCTAGAAAACAATAATTCAATAATATATGGAAATCAGAAAATACTACAAAAAATATTAAAATCAATGAATTTTTCAAATAATTACTTACAAAGTACTACAAAAAATATTAAAATCAATGAACTTATCAAATAATTACTTACTCGTGTAACTGGTTCATTTGTCAATGCTTTATCTGTGATAGGTGTTTTCTCTATGATAGTATTAGTAACAGGAGTACCATGAGATTCAACATTCTTGTCCACTGAAAAGACCTACAAAATTGAAGGAAAAGGGTCAATTTATGAAATAAATGCATTTTGCAAAAACAATAACAATTCACTTACTTGTGTTGGAGACTGATTCGGATGAGATGTTAGATTTGGTATCATTGTTCCTTGTGATTCAAGATGAGCTAAAACTAGCTTTAGTGTTTTATCTTGTTCTCTCACCTTTGTTGACAACGCTTTAAGTTCTTCATCTTTTTTCTGGAGCTCAAGTCTCTCATTCTGTAGTTCAAACTTTAGGTCCGCAATTTGTTCTTTTGAAGATCCTTTGGTTCTAGGAATATTGAAATATCTACTAGCAGTCACACCTGTGCCAACCCCTTTTAAGAATCCACCATTATCCTTGCCAAAGACTAATGACATGGCATCCATCCCAGGATCAAGCTTCACATCTCCATCTTTAATTTGTTTTTCATGTTCCACCTGTACACAAAAAGATATCAAAATAACATCGTCAATATTTATTTAACAAGTCACATTTGTTATAGTAATCAAATAACCAAGGAGAAAGTTTCAATAACTTACTAGTTTTTCTGCCATGAGTTTTACATTAGCATCTTCTATTTCGCCTGCTTTGTTTTCACGTCCTTTACACCACATTAATGACCGGGGTGGTATTTCATCTTTGGCAAGTACTTTATTATTTACCTAGTAATCATAGTTGTCAACTCGTAAAAGTCACGATATATATATATATATATATATATATATATATATATATATATATATATATATATATATATATATATATATATATATATTACTCCTATTTATACTAAACATGAAAGAAACATAGTTAAATACATCCAATGGAAAAACAAAACTTAAACAAATAGCAAGACTTAAAATAATGAAACTTTTCCCAAAATACCCCTGGCATTAAAATTATCCCAGTTTTTAATTAATCCAACAGTGGTGGCATATTAAATTCACTTTTTAGTATAGAATGTACTTCAAAACTTGAAAGTATAATGCTCTAATTGGTAGTTCCACTTTCACAATTTTAACTAACAAACACATGAGACATACATAATTGAATAAAATATAGAACTTACCAATTTCTCTCTTAAACTCGTATATCCTCCCCGTCCCATCCGGTGATTATAATTCGACTTAGAACGCGCTTCTATCGTCTTTGTCGACATATCCTTCCAAAAAATAAATTCACGGATCTTATAAGTATTTTTTATTTTAAGAAACTATAAAATAAAAGTGATAATGAAAAAAAAGGAATTTAACCTTGAATTGTTCAGACTGTGTGTTCAACGAACTTGTCCCAATGATCTTGGCTAAGGATTATTGTACGATATCGTTTAGGAATTCTTTTAAGCTTGGTGGTATTCCCTAAGTTGGGCTTTATGTACTTTGCGTACAATTTTCTTCTAAAATTCCGTAGAAGGATACCAAGCTGATTCATTATATATTTTCTTCGACTATCTTCAATTTCATAAAAACGCTAAAATACGAATCACTAATATGTTAGGCATTGAATCATGAATGAAATTGCAATGGAGAAAAACAATAACATATGGGCTACATATAAAAAAAACATTATTTACCGTTATCTCTTCCCATAGTTTTTCCTTGACTTCTTTTGTTACCTTCTTCCAGTTGAAAACACTAACTCCTACCCTTTCCCGTACTAGGTCTCCCAGATAACTAAGTAGTTGTGATCTATACTTCCCTGCAAACCTTCCAAATTCATCAAACTTTACACGTTTTTTTCTTCCACCAGAATTTGTATGTTCGGTCCGTAACTTTGGCAATCGAGTCAATCCCCTCTTCCTTGTTTTATTTGTAGTCTCTGTGTTGCTATCGGAATCACTGTTGCTATCGGAATCACTGGAAGTGTAATCAGATTTGCCTTCATGTTCTGAATCATCTAGATCAGATCCATCATATTGGTCCTCCTCCTCCATTTCCAATATAGGTACATCTTCAATCAATGTGTTTTCTCCTTCCATAATGCTTAATTAAACATGAAAAAATAACATACAAGGTATATTAGTATGTCATTAAGGAATAAGACACCATACAATGATATTTAATATAATTTTTTGATTTAGGCTTTTCATCAAACAATTGGTGTACAACAAGCACACTGCAGGGGCAATATGGTCCAAAATTGTGAAATTCCATAATATTTTGCAATAAAAACATATTGCAGGTTCCAGTATTAACCAAAACTGTAAAAATTAAATTTTTTTATTATAAAAATACTACAGGGGCAATATGGTCATAATTTTTTGCTGTAAAAACAGTTTCCAGGATCCGGTATTAAGCAAAACTGTAAAAAATTAATTTTTTTTTATTATAAAAACACTGCAGGGGCAATATGGTCCAAAATTGTGAAATTCCATAATATTTTGCAATAAAAACAGTTTGCAGGTTCCGGTATTAACCAAAACTGTAAAAGTTAAATTTTTTTATTATAAAAATACTGAGGGGCAATATGGTCATAATTTTTTGCTGTAAAAACAGTTTCCAGGATCCGGTATTAACCAAAACTGTAAAAATTAATTTTTTTTATTATAAAAACACTGCAGGGGCAATATGCTCCAAAATTGTGAAATTCCATAATTTTTTGGAATAAAAACAGTTTGCAGGTTCCGATATTAACCACAACTGTAAAAATTAAATTTTTTATTATAAAAATACTGCAGTGGCAATATGGTCATAATTTTTTGCTGTAAAAACAGTATACTAGATATATGGGTTGTAATAAATGTTTATTACCAATGATATATTGAGCAACGATACTTGATTGTTTTGCAAATATGACTAACAGCAACTAAAGGTTCAATTTTGCAGCAATTATTCTGTAATGAAAAACCTTAAATACACCTCTATAGTAAAATTGTCAAAAGTCGATAACCCATTTCATCAAAGGTATAATAATGAAACGAAATAAAATCAAATCAAAAACCAAATTATAAAACTTACAAATTGCAACAGTAGAAAACGTTTATCAGTGGCAAACAGAGAACCAATAAAGATGTGGAGTCATCTAAACGAGTACCCTAACAATGATTTTGGCGATCGATTGAGATGAGGTAGGGGATAACGAAAATCCAGAAAAGTATAAGGGTGTGAGCAATCGGAGTGGTAGTCGGGATGATGAGGTAGAGTCGTCGGTTAAATCACAAGAGAAGGGTTTGATGTAACAGTATGGTGGTCAAATCGTCGGTTGTTGTGGTGAATTAGAATGGGAGGGGTAATTAAGGAGTGAAAATGTATTGTGGGGTTTTGACTGTATCTCAAAATTTGTGGCGGGCTATAAAATTTCCATGGCGGGATATCCAAAAAATATGTTGGCTGATTATTTATTATTGTTATTATTATTATTGTACAATATATACTTCACTCCCTTAAGTAATCAAAATTTTCAAGTTAGTCCATAGAAATTGCAATTGATATCTTTTGCTTATTAAACTCCTAGTATACATCATTATAAATATAATTTATTAATTTGACAAAAAATCATGTAATTTTTTTTTTTGAACGGGAACTTCCCTAATGAAGATTCAAGATCAACTTTCACACACCGATCCTCCGCTGCAAACATGAAGCTATACTTCAAAAAAAGTAATATTTTTTAATTTTAAAACTTGTTTATTTATACATTCATTCGTCTCGAACTGGTCGAATGAGAAGTGAAGAATTGGGAACTGAACCATGGATTAAAATCTTGGTCGAATCTGATGTGGTATGGTATAGGGTCGGTTCGGTGGGTCCAAATAATGTTCATTCCTAATATATAATAAATATGAGTTTTGATCGTTTAGTCGTAAACCAAACTAAATTTCAATTTTGGTCGAATCTAACGTCGGTATGGTATAAGGCCCACACGTGGTGTTGCTTTGAATCACGATTGATTTGTCCTGACTTGGCCACAGAGTGGCCAAGAGTTCACCACGATGTCTATTAACTTCGTTGACCGTTGACTTTTGGCCGGTTGGCCTTCGGTAATAATTGAAGGAGTTAGGTTGTTTTTTGAAGTGTGGCCTTTGTTTTATGATAGAGTGTTCGTGGGTATAATCGGTACAAGGAGTGAGGGTGTATATGTGATTATTAGGTTCTACTGGGTCTTCTCACTATACCACATGTGACATCGTATATCCTTTGTATGGTAAGGTAGAGGGATTATTAGAGTACGAGTATGTTATCTGACTAGGATATCCCCTTGCTATGTATGTGAAGTGTAGGGCACTTAGTGTCATGCTATGCTGGACAGTTTTTGTGACTTTAACATGAAAGACTATGGTTGAATCACAACTGTAACACCCAATGCAATGTACTTTTCATTTTGACCCTTGGTATGTAAATACCTTGTAGATTTGGTCCCTAGGGGGCAGTTTTGCCATTTTGGAAAACTTGTAGTATGTTGGGCGTACTTCTCATACACGGGTTGTATGCACGTAGGGGACAAACCCTAAAATTTAGGGTTTTGACCTTGTTTAAACAGCATTGTGAACCTTTATCCTCTCATTTCTCAGCCTCCATAGCCCTTTGAATCCCATTTCGAAACCCTAGACCCTCTTGAAGAGATTTGACCCTCTTGTGTGTGTGTTTTTAGTGTGTGTTGGTGAGATTTGAAGAAAAATAGTTTGGAAGAAGGAGCCTTGATCAAGTAGAATTTGTAGATCCATATTTCACACATCATTTCCAGCTTCATTGAGGTATAAAGATTGGAACTTGCTCCTTGTATTATTAAATCCAATCTTTATGGAGTTTTTGTCCCTTCTTAGTCTTATGATGAGATCTAGTGGTTTTCTTCCACTCCAGGGGTTAGGAGTTGTTTTTGTTGATGTTTCTGAGGTCCCTAGTCCATAAATTTAGTATCTTGATGATTGTGGATTAACTATGCAAGTGTCTAGGTCCATTTGGTGAAAGTATCATGCTAAAGTAAGGTTTGGGTTCTTTTGACCCATGCAAAGGCTCCAAGTTCATGAACTTATGGATTAAGACGTTCCTATAGATTTGGGTCTGGAATTTGGATGTTAGAATCGAGAGGGGTTGTTATAGGGAGAGATAAATACGCATAGGAGAGATCGAGATTATAGTAAACATTGGTTCCAAATGATGTTTGACCAATAGATTTTGCAAGTAAATCCATTTAGTGTTTATAGCATGAACTTATGTGAGAAACATAGATAAAAGAGAAAGAATTAAAGTATAATGCTAAAATACAAGAAATAAATAAAAAGAAAGTATAGTGTTACTTTTGCATTTAACCCAGTAGTAAATCAGGAATATACCTTGCATCCCATTTGATCATTCCATTTTAACCATTTACAAAATAATCAAATGCGAGTGATTTATTTCGGAAATTAGTTTCTAAAAACGATTAATGTTGTTACGTAGGTGGGAGGGTGGTTGTTGGTTGTTTAGGGTTAAAAATAAAACTACATTTTTTGGGATTAAAAAAATTAGTTTTTTGGCAATATATATTAGGAGTATGTTGTTGTTTTTGCTTAAAAAATATAATATTTTTAGGTTTAGTATTTAAAATAAGTTGCCAATTTGAAGTAAAAATTAAAATTCATTTATATTTTTGGTTAAATATAAAACTAATTATGTCTGTAACGTGACATGTTTGGTTAAATATAGTTTAGTTTGATTTAAGGTACTAAACTTATAACCCCTGTTTTTTTTTATTGCACTCAACATTGTTCTGTATTTTTATATAAAAAATAAAATGAAGGATGTTATAATAAGAAAATCTATAAAATTATGTTGCTATTTCTTGTTATAATAAAAGAAGTTATTTTACTAAATTCAAAAAAAAAAAAAAAAAAAAAAAAAAAAAAAAAAAACACTAAGTTATACAAATACCCTCTTTATTGCTTATAGAAACATCCTTACATTAAAGACACAAGTTATTAGCTTTCAATGATTATCTGTAGTAATCAAATAACCATAAACCTAAATGGCCCATAAAAAAAAGTCATTAGCCTTAAGTTGTATGTCATAATCCCGTATGCCCTAAATACAGAATCCATTAGCTTTAAATGATTATTTATAGTAATCCAATAGCAACCAATTACTTGTTATTGAAATTAATGTTTGTTATGTATAATCAAAAGGATGATTATATTTTGCAATATGGTCCAAAATTGTGAAAATCCATTTTTTGCTATAAAAACAATTTGCAAGTTCCGGTATTAACCAACTGTAAAATATAAATTTTTTTTATTATAAAAACACTGCAACAGCAATATGGTCCAAAATTGTAAAAATCCATAATTTTTTGCTATAAAAACAGTTTGCAGGTTCCGGTATTAACCAAAACTGTAAAAATTAAATTTTTTCATTATAAAAACTCTGCAGGGGCAATATGGTCCAAAATTGTGAAAATCCATAATTTTTTGCTATAAAACAGTTTGCAGATTCTGGTATTAACAAAAACTATAAAAATTAATTTTTTTTATTATAAAAACACTGCAGGGGCAATATGGTCCAAAATTGTGAAAATCCATATTTTTTTTTGCTATAAAAACAGTTTGTAGGTTCCGGTATTAACCAAAACTGTAAAAATTAAATTTTTATTATAAAAACTCTGCAGGGGCAATATGGTCAAAAAATGTGAAAATCCATAATTTTTTGCAATAAAAAAAAGTTTGCAGGTTCCGGTATTAACCAAAACTAGAAAAACTAAAAAAATTTTATTATAAAAACACTGCAGGGGCGATACGGTCCAAAATTGTGAAAATCCATAATTTTTTGCTATAAAAACAATTTGTAGAATCCGGCAATAACCAAAACTTTAAAAATTGAACTTGTTTTATTATAAAAACACTACAGGGGCAATATGGTCTAAAATTATGAAATCCATAATTTTTTGATATAAAGTGTGCAGGATCCAGTTTGAACCAAAATGTAAAAATTGATTTTTTTTTATTATACCAAAACTGCTCAGGGGCAATATGGTACAAAAATGTGAAAATCCTTAATTTTTTTGCTA